ACATTTCCAACATTCCAGAATCTTTTTCCTCTGTTGTGCTACCCAGTTTTTGCTGTGGAAACAAAACACTGGACATGCTGGACAGTTTATGGAAAGGAGGAAAGGTTCATCTGGGCCGTGTCAGCCCCACTTTGCTGGTCCACAGGCTTCGGGCCTGTGGTAGCACTGCTTACCATGGCAGGTTCAAGTGACAGAGGCAGTTTGTTCATTTCATGGTGGCCAGAGGCAAAAAGGTCACCCCTAGTGACCTAACTTCTTTCCATGGTTTTTGTGGTACAGTAGTGGTATTGGGATATCCTGACTTAACAGGAAGCAGGATATACTTAGAGTTGCAATAGGACAGCTCTGGAGGGGTAGAGCCACACATAATAGGACAGCTCTGGAGGCTGGAGCTGCGATGGGACAGCTCAGCACTGGAGAAAAGGTGTCCTATCGGGAAGCCCGGATACCTGAAGCTGGGGTGCGGTGGGGGATGCTCTCCCTGCAGGATACGATGCTGCTCCTCTCCTGAAGAGTGGCTACAGCTTTCTTCTCTGTTCCCTTTAAGGAGCATCCTAGCAGAGCTATCTGCTTCTCCAGCCCAAGATGTTTCTTCTGCTAACACTCTGCTAAAGGGAAGCCCCCTGCAAAAACATAGCAATCTCCTTTAGCTCTGGTGAAAAGTTGTTACTTTTCCTCTGCTGTCCCCTGGCCTTGCTCAGCCCCCTTAAGGAGCGTCCTAGCAAGGTTCTTCTGCTCTGTTCCGCCTAAGGGAGCGTCTCAGCAAGGTTTTTCAGTTCTCAGCAAGGTTTTTCAGTTCAGTCCCCTAAGGGACGTCCTGGTCAGATTCTTCGGCTCTTCGCGGGACGAATGAAGTCGTCCACTCAAAACTCTTTTGAGAAAGAGATTTATTTGGGAAGGAGGAGTACAGGAGAGTGGCTGCCACTGCCACTTAGAGGCAGCTCTCAACTGAAGGGATGGAGAGGCTTATATAGGGCTTCTTAGGGGTGGAGTTTTCCCAGGGAGAAAGGGGATTGGTCAATTTTTCCCTGCTCAGGAATTGGTCAGTTTAGCTGGTTGGGGCAGAGATGGCTCTGACTTGATGGCCAAACTGTGTCTCTTTCACTGGTCCTTTTTAGCTTTTTGACTCTAATCTTAGGACCAGAGCGTATTTCTTTCACTGACTCTAATTCTAGGGACAAAGTGTGTTTTTTTTGACACTAGTTTCAGAGCCAGAACACCTATCTTTAGTTCTGAGTTCAGGGATAAAGATGTTTCTTTCCCTGGCCCAGGTCTCAAATACAGGGTATGTTTCTTTCTCTGACTCTGGGTTCAGAGTCAGGTGCTCAGTGATTGGTCAGGTTCCTGCTCGGGTTGTCCCTTTAACCCTACAGTCCTCCTCCCTCTGAAAGGGTCTACCAACCCTGTGAGCCAATTTAACAGGAGCCTTTGGGAACATTCCAGATCTCAGAGCACTACCCTTCCTGGGTAATCACTGGCCTGACCTGGCATCCGCAGCTGTTGTTTTGCTGCTTTGGAATTCTTTCATGTCTCCCTATTATTGCAGGTGATCATAAACATTTATATAATTGGAGCATGAACAAAGGCATCACAGAGGACATGCAGTTAGTTTTGCTTGGTGCATACCTTCGTCCAGAGTGTAACTGCTAGGTCTTCTGATTTGGGAGCCTTAAAAACATCAGTTCCTTTGGTGGTGGTCTCAACTGCTACCACTTTAGTGTAAGCTGTTTTCTGCCAGTACTGGCATAACTTTTTCATTTTAACCATTATGGAGGGCATGTAGTTATACTGCAATGTGGATTTAATTGTATTTCTGATGACTTAGGAAACAGATCACATATTATTGGCCATTTGTATAGCTCTATAAAAACTTGTGGCTTTATTTCCTCACCAATTTTAGGGCCTCTTTTATTATTTTGAATAAAAGCCTTTTGTTTGCTATTTACATGGTGTGTGTGTGTGCACAATCTTCAACTCTTAGCTGTGTTCTTCATAATGTTTTTTATCAAAGCCCAATTTTAATACAATCAGATCTCTCAAAATTTCCCCTGTATAGTCATACTCTTTCAAAAAATGTTTCTTGCCTACTCCTAAGTTCACAAAAGTGATGTTCTTGCTGACAGCTTTAGTCATTCACACGATGACCTATGATACATTTAGTAATTTGTGTGTGATAGAGGGACCGTGAGAACTCGTGTCAGAACTCTATCTGCTAGCCCAGAATACATCCTGAAAAGACCATTGCTTCTAACTAGACCAATCCTGTAGTCATGTGCTCTGGGAAGGACCTACATGGTATGATGTGGTCATAACCTCTGATGTGGGATTCCCCTCTGTATGCTGTGAATACCATTGGTTAATAAAGAAGCCACTTTCGGCCTATTGCAGCACAGAACAGGGCAAGGCGGGAATTTCCTGTCTAGAGGAGTAGGCGGAGTCAGGGAGAAGCCATGTAGCCACCACAGGAGACAGAAGGCCAGAACCATACCAGTAGGCCACAATCACGTGGCAATACACAGATTAATACAAATAAGATCTAAGAGCTAGCTAGAAATATGCATAAGCTAATAGGCCAAGCAGTGTCTTAATTAACAGTTTCTGTGTGCTTATTTCAGGTCTGGGCAGCCGGGAAAGGAATGAACAGCCTCTGACTACAAATTTCCAGGGACAATTTGGAGCCAGATGCTCAAATGCCTTATTTTAAGTCTTTATAGTTGTTACAACTTACATGGATACTATAAGGAGACAGATAACTTACTAAAGTTAAAATATCTAATCAGTATTGAAAGGGAGTTCAGTGCTGTTTTAGTAGAGAATTGTGTTTTATTTCCAAGAGATGAGAGATAAAATTAAAGACCAAACAACTAAAACCTTAAAACTTGTTTTCTGTATAGAGCAAAATTATATAGTGTTAACCAAAGACTATGCATTATAAGAGAAAAAAAGAGATAAAGTTCTAAATAATATAGTTACCCAAATACTGTAACTACCCAAATACTGTAACACAGGTGTTGACAGAGGTTTCTGTCCCACCAGGTCCTGCAGTCATTCAGTCCCAAAGAAATACAGAGGTCTACATTAATCATAAATTGGTTGGCCTATTAGCTCAGGCTTATTAATTAATTCTTATTATCTTAACCCATAATTCTTGTCTGTGTCAGCCACGTGGCTTGGTACCTTTCATCAGTGAGGCATTCTCATCTGCATCCTCTACGGCTGGGTGATGACTGCAGACAAACTCCTTCCTCTTCCCAGAATTCTCCTGTTCTCATTGCCCCGCCTCTACTTACTGCCTGGTCATCCTGCCTTTACTTCCTGTCTGGCTAGTGGCCAATCAGCATCTTATTAAATAAGTATAAGGAATAAATCTTTACAGGGTAAAACCATTGACGCACAGCACACAGGGGAAGAGAAAAGATCAGCAAGGGTTGTGGTAGTCAGAAAGATGACTACTACAGAACTCCTTGAGTTGATTTGCACCTGATAAGGCCATTATTAATGTAAAACCCGAGAGCCTTCATTTCTGAAGTCTTTAATACCGTCAGTCCACTGTATTCTCCTCTTATTTTCTTAAACACCCCTTTCTTCCACTATTGCTCCACTTTAGAACACACTAATGGTTCAACCCTCGTACACAGAAAGCTGAAAGCTAAAAACAAAACAAAAGCAACAAAAAATGATGCTCAAACCTCCTTGGGTTAATGAGTGTGGTCTGTGAATGTAGAGGCAAATTATGAAATATTCTGTTAAGTAACCCAAATATATAGCTGAAGTTGTGGTATAAGGTGCCTTGGAACAGTGGTTCTAAAATGCAGGCAAAGCTGTTAGATAAAATGTTAACTTGGTTGTACCTGACTTCAAAAAACCAAAGTATTTTGTCCCTTAATATAATCTGGCTATTTGGAAACATTTTTGGTACCATACATGGTAGGCAGAGACCAGGGTGATGCTAAGCATAACCATACATTATTGAATAGATCCCCAAACAAAGGTTTATTGCTCAGAGCATATGTAGTGCAGCTGTAGACTGCTTTGGGGCAAGAATAGACGCAATTCCAGAGTTTTGTTCAACTATAGGTATTCAGTTGATGTTTTAAGTGATAGAAGCCCAAGGAAGACAAACAAGCTTTAAACTTGAAGGGAAAGAACTTCTCTTTCAAGTGTAGCATGCTATAGTTCAATTTTCAGATATGTATTAAGTCTTTAAACTTTAAGAGAAATTTAAGGCATGCAGAGTCCAAGTCCTGTGTCTTTACTAAGTGAAGCACTAGTGTCAGGCAGCCCTAAAGTCCTCTCGCCTCCCGTTCTGCAGCTCTTCTGATGCTTAGATCTTGATAACCACGGAGAACAACAGACAATGTGTATAAATAAAAGAATCACAGCTGTGTTCCTGTGCTGGGTCTTAGATGAGCTGTGCTATGCTTATTTGGTTAATATTGTGCATTTTCTTGTTCTTGTGGTCTTGTGTAAGTAAACATCATGAAATGGGTACCTGAGGCACTTTCTTGTATTTTAGTGCCTAGTAACTATCATCAACAAGTCATAGATTGGCAGAAGCCTCAGCAATGAAAGTCAATTCATTTAAAGTTAGTAACAGTGTAATAAGCTCTGAAGAATAGTGAATGAGGCATCTCTGGAGTGATGGAGTTAGGGTTATGATCTGGAGCTGAGGCATTAATTAATCTGAAAATAAATTATGTTTAACTGTTTTAACTGCATGGTTAAGAAATGTATTTTAGTGTAAGAATGAAATTGATGTACCTTTATATATAAAAGATGTATTACTTTCACTATTTTTTCCTGCTGACATTGTTTGAAAATAGCACTCAAACTTGGGCCAGTTTGATTAGCAGTTAAGAAAAATAAATTAGAAAAATAAATTTGTAATAAACCTAGAATTACCAATAGTAATACTAAAAAAATCCTAACATTTAATGTTGTACTTCTTTAACCTGTTAAATAGCTGCATTTTTAAACTATTGCAATAAAGAAATACAAGCTACCATAGGCAAATGTGTGATTTATTTTTGGAAAAAATAATTAAACTAATAAGGTTTTCCCAATAAAGGGGAGAATTAACAATAAGAGACCATACATACCCTGGTTACATGTAGATGACCACATTCTGCAGAATGTGGGTGTGTTCAACACATACTCCAGAATATGAGTAGCATTTGCAATATTGCACTCTAAGCCACCTGCCGATGTAAACCCATAAATGATGAAATAAATACCTAGAAACCAGATCCCATAGAAGCTGAGTTCCTCAGCAGTGTTTATACAGAGCACTCCATTACGGACAGACAGAGTTGCAGTAATCACAGGGCATGGCTAGTTTCCACTGAGCTTCTGCATGATATGGCTGTCTGCTGTGGCATTGGTGAAGATACTTCCTACAAACACGTGAGTGCCCCAGAGACTGTGACGAATCACTTTACAGCAGCCAAGGTCTTCAACGGAGAACCCTAAATGCCGGTAACGTTCATCTGTTTCAAAAAGTGTGTTGTTTGTATAGGGTCCAAAAAACTAGAAGAAATAAGAAATGAAGAAATATTTTCATTGGGAGGAAAGACACTGCAGGAGTATTTATATAAATGCAAGTGCATCTATGTGTTTAATATATTTTTTTTATCCAATAAAAGGTCACATGCAATCCCTAAACCGTTCTAGCACACCATCCCCAGTTCTTATGCACGCTAAAATGGAAAATGAATTATCAAATAAATTTTGTTACCTAGAACTGAATGTATAGCTTTAATGATGAATTGTACAGGCTTTAATGATGAACAAAATCTCAGAGAATCATCTATGAATCATCTCCAACACTGTTACAAAAGGGGACAAAAGCCAGAGGTCTTCTAGTCGCAATGACATTCTACTTGACTCTGAGAAGTAGCAGGTACACATTTCTATTTTAAAATTTGAAAATAATTTTATGAGGCTGGAGAGATGGCTCAGAGGTCAAGAGCACTGACTATTCTTCCTGATATCTTGAGTTCATTTCCCAGCAACCACATGGCAGCTCACCACCAATCTATAATGAGATCTAATGCCCACTTCTGATGGGCAGACAAACATGCAGAGAGAATACTATATACATAGTAAATAAATAAATCTTTAAAAATGATTTTATTACTTCCTGCAATTGAAGCATGTTACCATGACTATAAAAGCTTCCAAAAAGTTACTTCTGTGATTTTTTTTACAGTTTATATTTTAACTTCAAAATATTTTGGTGTTTTAAGAAACTAGACTAGACCACAGTAGTTCCTAAGTTTTATCTTGCAAATAATAAACATACACATCTGTTTCATTACTATAAACAGAAACAGCACCATAAGTTTTAGAATTGCAAAACCAAGGGACTTAACAGTAATCCTTCTTTGGATAATATATAGAACTGTAAAAAAGTCTAAATGGATTTTTTTTTTGCCAATAGGAGAGTTATAATTTTATAATAAGAACTGTGTCTACTTTGTATAAACTGGCTTTCAAGATGTATGTACTCACTGCCAAACCAGATGATGGGTCAATGAAGTCAGCCCAATATCCTTCAGCCCGAAGAGCATAGCAAATTTCCTTAGCACCATTAATGAACTGCAGAGGAAAAGATAAAATCAGTGTTAACCCAGCATCACTCCGACTGGTTTATGTTTAACATTAAATGTCATTTTATTGTCTAGGTTGCCCTAGGCTCTAAGATTAAACACTAGCAGCGAGGTAAAACAAAACAAAACAACAAAATCTGAATATACAGGTGGGTGGAGCAGAAGAATCAACTGGGTACCCACTTTTCACTAAACATTTGTGTGTATTTTACATATGATGTGTATGGTTGCTAAATACCATGTACAGATCAGGATTTTAGCCTTAATATCTTAATACCTATGGTGTTATGTGTTGACTACAACTAAGTACTGAAAATCCAGTAGCAAGTTTAAGTTCAGACTACACTGCCGACAAAAAGAGCACCATGGGTGCCTAAAACCCATGGTACAGCCTTCATTCTAGTCCCCACAGAGATAAACCCAAACTCAGTTTCCTGCTGAAAGCTAGAAAAGTTACCAAAATATGCAAGGCAACTATTCTTATGTGAAAAAGTCATGGTCTTTGAGAAAATGGGAGCAAATGTCTATCTCTAGAGACCTTATATTTGAAGGCATTTTGTTTGTTTTTTTTTGTTTTGTTTTTGTCAACTTGACACAAGCTAAGGTCTTCTGAGAAGAGGAAATCTCAACTGAGAAAACACCTCCATCAGACTAACCTACAGAGGCCTGTAGGGAAGCATTTTCTTGACTAATGATAGACATGGAAGGATCTGGCCCACTCCGGGTAAGGCCATCCCTGAACAGTTGGTCTTGTGCAGGCTGAACAAGACTTGGAAAGCAAGCCAGTAATCAGTGTTTCTCCAAGGCTCCTGCGTCAGTTCCTGCTTTGAACAACTGCCTTGACTTCCTTCAATGATCATCTGTGACTAGGACATGTAACCCAAATTAACTCGTCACCAATCTGGTTTTGGAGATCCTTGCAGAAACAAAAAGTAAACTAGGAGAGTTGGATTCCAAGCCAAGAGGTGGTGTCACCGTGTTTAGGAGACAAAGTAAGAATTTTGGACCCCCGAAGCCCTTGGACTTGTCTGGCAGAGCACTGCAAAGAGGCTGACACAAAAACAGGATCCTAGTAACCTATATAGCAATTCACCCTGGCTGCTTAGCAAAAAAACTGAGCCAAATAAGAAAGAGGCAAGATTCTAACAGGCCTAGCAAATTCTCAAACTGTAAAACTTGTAATATGCAGGAGACACACAGAATTCTGGCCCATCAAGAGTGAAGAGACACAGCACTTCTGACATTCAGCTAACACTGGCTCCAATGTCCAGGATTTAGAAATGCAGAATATACACCTTTAATCCCAGCACTTGGGAGGCAGAGGTAGGTGGTTCTCTGTGAGTTTGAGACCAGCCTGGTTTGCAAGAGGTAGATCCAAGACAGGCACTACAGAGAAACCTACACAGAAGCTACACAGAGAAACCCTGTCTCAAAAAGCAAACAAACAAAACAAAATAAAAAAAAGAAATGCAGAATATATTCTGCACCAAACACTAGCAAATTATAGTCCTAGAGCAAATCCAGCTCACTGATATAGCCATATCCATGAATGTATTTAATGTCTATGTTGTTTTAACAATGTAACACAGAGTTTATAGCTGAAGTGGATTGCCCAAGATGCCCATAATACACAAGTCCCCATCTGTGGATTGGTTTTTTTTTATGGTTTTGGCTAACTGTGGTCAGCTGCCCTGAAGGCATATACTAATTTGAAAATTCTAGAAATAATGAATTAATTTGTAAGTTTTAAATGATAAGCCATTCTAAGCAGTGTGATAAAATCTCATAACATCTGGTCAGCCAGCCTGAGATGTGGATCATCTTTTGGATCAGTGTATCCATACTAAATACTACCCCCCTATTAGACCTGTCTTAATTATCCAATCAGCTGTGGAGTAGCCCAATTACTGCAGACTAACCATTGATTTCCTTAATAATAACCCCACTGTGCAGAGACAATGATGCTTGTAATTAGCACACATCAAAGAAAAACTTCCTTTAAGCAAAAAGCCAAGGTATAAAGAGACCGTATTCACAAAACTTCGTTGCCAACTCCTGCCATTCTGTAGTATTAGTAGTTACTATTAATCTTTGAACGCGCCACTCACGTTCAGTAAGCTCTAGCATAGGCATATAAATACACTGCAATCAAAGTGTGGGCTCTGCTCTTACTAGTGCATAAAGAAGACCACTGTGCCTGGGACTTGGTAAAGTTTACAGGAGGCCACTGTGATGTCAGTACTAAGGAGACAGACCAGATCAAACCAGAATGGGATTACTCATGCTACTGTCACTGATTAGTTAGTAATCAAACAGAATTTAAACAGGTCAGCTTTCAAAAACAGCCAGAAGATTGACAGCAATCAATCAGAAGGGCCCGAGTTTACCTGGAGCCAGCACAATAATTAAGTCCTCCCTGTTCTAACCCTGTAAGAAAAGAATCAGTAACCTTGTTCTACTTTCTTCAACCCCCTTATCTATACTGCCAAAGCCTTCTGTTCACCTTTCAAGAGCCCTTGATCTGTATTAGAGACCAAGAAAGGAAGTTAAAGAGACTGTGAAATTTGGCCTGAAGCTGCTTTTCCATTTTGACTCTCAACATACTGTGACGTAAGAGCCTAAGTCCAGCCTAACTTAGGAGTACAACACAGGCCCGAGCACTGCTCACTCTCAGGCTGTCAACCGACTGCCGTGCTCAGTAAGTCACTTTGCTCAAACAGACTTACTGTAAACTTCACTTGCCACAACTTTTTATTTTTTCAGAACTACATATATTGTAATTTTTTTTGGATGAAGTTTAATGATTCGCACCTAAGCTAACTTTTCTCCCCATATCCACCTGTAAACTGGTGACATATAATAAACAATGCTATATTCTGTAGATTATCACCCACATTCAACATTAACTTTTGTTGATGTATTTCATATTCTTTGTTAAGTCTTAAAATTCAAGTCATTTGATTATATTCCAACTTAATGAAAAAGGTCATACCTGAAAACTAAAAAGAACAAAACAATACAATCAACCATGTACAAAGGTTCACTAAAAGAATCTTATTATAAGCATCAGCAAATTTCTTAAGATATGTATTCACCAAAGACAAACAGTGACATCTGCTGGAAAAGATCAGAATAGGACATGAGAATAAGCTACAATTCTCAATAGCTGCATATCAAAACCCACACTTGCCACAGGAAACTCAAAGAACTATACTGGAGTCAGTATCAAATTAGGTAAGAATCTTGAGATGATCAGAAACCAGCACTACTATGTGATGCTTAAGAATGAGCCCCGTGGCTGCTCACTAAGTGATGAGAACTATCCACATACCAAGCCTTTAATGTGTAAATAAGTTGTCTGCTAGTTATTGCCTATTTAAATTCTCTTAAATCGGAATGTATGTCTGTTTTTTAAATAAGGTCTCCCTCACTATGTTTTCCTGGCTGGTCTGAAACTGAAACTTACCATGTGGACCAGACTGGCCTCAAACTCCCAGAAAGCCACATGCCACTGCCTCCTGAGTGCCCAGATCAAAGGTGTAGGCCACTATACCCAGCCTGAATGTCAAATACCTCTATTTAATTCCATTTTAGTTAGCATATAATATGCTCACATCTGTTAAAAAATGAATTTTAATTGGACTTAATAATAAAAACAGATAGTAGGGGTGAAAGCTGAAAGATCAGAGAAACAGAGCAGATAGTCACTAGTTCTTACCTCTACAAAATCCTCAAACTGAATGGGGTGCCCTGTCTCTACAAGTCCTCAGACTGAATGCTCAGAGCGTCTGTCTCCTCCCGCCATATCTCCACCCAATCATATCTCTTTCTGTCTCCACCTCCTTAGGGATTAGATTAAACGACCATTAAATACTGGGATTAAAAGTGTGAGTCACCACTGCCTGGCCTCGAGGACTATCTAGGGGCTCACTCCACACTCTGATCCTCAGGCAAGCTTTATTTGTTATAGCACAAACAAAATATCACAATGGCATGTACTAGTAAGAGCTATGTGGTACATTTAAGTAACACATTATTACCACAAAATACTGCTGAAATGTAAACCATATTATCACAAATAAAGAGAACCATCTGGTTAACCCTCCAACGTAACAGAATGTTTAACATTGTCTTACATGGAAATCAGTAAGAGGATTTTTCAATTAGAGTGAGCTAAGCCACTCAGATGAGTCATTCTGAATCTATCATAGAGAAAAATACTCTTTCTTGTCCTATAGACAAATTCACACAATCCAATGTCAATTTTAAGGTAATTACTACATAGTTTTAAATTATTAAATATATATGTATAGAAGTAATTATCTGAGATTTTTATCTGATTGATAAGAAGAATGCTAAGGTATAAGGTAAGCTAGAGTCAGAGCATATGTATTAAGATAATTTTTGGGGTAGGCATATCATCAGCATTTATCAAAATTTAAAATGATAGTAATTCAGCCATCTTCTATATAGAAGTCTATGGGGATTAATGCTCATAAATATATGTAATATTGATTTTCCCAGCTGTGTGCCAGTAATAGCAAAGTTGGATTTTCAATTTATAAATCATAAAGGAAAATTTAAAATAACCTAAAATTTTGATTACTCATAATATAATGCAGATTTTTATAAGAAATAAAATAAATCTACATATAAATAAATGCATATCTACATTGTAAATAAAATATATAGAAGTGTCAAAACCTATCTGCAGTTAAAAGCAAAGGGCAGAAAAAAGATGCAGACTGTATTTTATTCTGTCACATTGCTCAGTGTTACTCTTTATTCCTTAGAGAAGACTGTGTGATTTTCATTACTTGCTATGCTATAGACAGTGTAGAGATGCCGGAGAGGGACAGAGTAATAGATTTTAGAAAAATTGGAAGTTTAGAAACATTCAGAAAAGGAATAAATGAAACAAATGTTCATGAATACCAAGAAAAGTAGCACTTACTTATTTCATGGGTGTGGCTACTCTGACTGCATGTATGTCTGTGGCCCATATGCATGCCAAGTGCTAACACAAACCACATGTGGGCGATGGATTCCCTGGAACTACAGTTACATATAGTTGTGAGCCACCATGTGTGTGTTGGAACTCAAACCCAGGTCCTCTGGAAGAATAGCATGTGCTCTTGACTGCTGAGCCAACCTTTTTCTTTCTTTTCCTTGAAAAATGATGCCATTTCTTCAGTGCTTGAAATATTTCACAGAACAAATACAGGGCAAAAGTATAATTTTATGATAGTAGTTGCATTGTTTAAATACAGTAGTCATAACTCAAGAGTCACCAATATGAGTTGGTGTTAAGGAAAAGAAATTAGACTTCTTTTTGGGGTAGTTTAACAGAGAGTGAGCTCGGATTTGAATTCTCTACTTGTCTCCCTGTAGTTTATGGTTTCTGGCTTATCTATAATCTGTTCACTCAGTAAGTCTGAATCTGTGACTACCTGAGTGTTGTCTTATCTTTCCCTAAGTCTATTACAAAGGTGTTTGCCCTGTATTTACTTAACAGAACAGAAAAGTATCACACAGTGAAGGAACTTGGGACACTTTACAGAAATCTTTAACACAGTTATACAAGGGATTAAGTTACTGACTCCAAATGCCCCAGAAGCACTCAGAAAAGCAAACATTCATTTAATAATATCCATATGGGGGACTGGAGAGATGGCTAAAAGATTAAGAGCTCTGGCTGCTCTTCCAGGGATGCTGAGTTAAAAGCCCAGCAACCGCATGGTGGCTCACAACCATTTACAATGTGTCTGGTGCCCTCTTCTGGCCTGTAGTGCAGGCATATATACAGGTAGAACACTGTAAACACAATAAATAAAATAAATCTTAAAAAAATTTCCACATGCTGTTTCCATCATTTATGGTCAATATTTATTGTACAAAGTTGCTTCCAACCTGTTGGCTCCTTTTAGCAAATGATTAACACAACACAAACATACACATATTCATTATTCTGGGTCATGGGCACAAAAAGAATACACAATAGAAGATTACAGCTATGCAACAGTTTAAGTTGTAAAAGCTGATTACCTGGGAAACCCAAGGCAGGTAAGATTATTGTTACATTATTCTATTAAAGGCAGGTTAATAAAACAGGCTGACTATATAACAGAATAACAGTCTAAATCTAAAATAAGCTCAATGTAGATTAACTCAGCTATGAAGTCCACCAAAGTTCTAGTCTTGGTTACAACTGGTGCAGTGACATTGAAATATGACAGCACTAAGTTATTAGGAAACTGGAAGACTTACCTTCTCCAAGAGCATCTCTCTTTCAAGTTCTACCTCTTCGCTCCAAACAGTCATGTCATTTTCAGTTTTCTGTGTCACAGTCAGAATCATTAGTTTGTTATTAGCCACTTCTGGAAAAAGTGACTCAAAATCTAAAAATAAGAATGTAAAGCCCAAGGAGAAAACAGTTAGCGTTCCACAAAGAGCTTTAGTTCATAAAGACAGCTTACTCAGGAAGATGAAAATTAAGGCAGTCTTCCAAGTGTACACTACTTCTGAAAAGTACAAGGAATGCAGTTTTGATGGAGGAGCTGAGACAGCAACGCCAACAGCTCTGAAGGTTAAGCTACACTACACCTACCCATGCTCTACTACTAACATGGTTTTCAAATCAATTATCATTAGGAGTTTAATGACAATGGGTCAAAGTGCAGAGGAAAAGTGACTGGGGAGCACACAGCCACAAATACGACATCTGTATCACACCAGCTCTCAGAACTGAAGAACTGGAATGGACCACTATCTTCTGAAATGCAGAACCTTCTGTGCTCATGAACTCACAAGACCTGCACAAGATGAAGGTGACTAACATCTAGCATGAAGCCGAGAGAGGCTAGCAAGTCCCCAACCCTAACTGAGCAGCTATGGAACAGGGGATGGCCTTTGGGGGAAGGAGAGTCAGTTTGCTTTAAGGGTGTACTCATAATAAGTTGATCATGCTCTCCTGAGTGGCCCCCACCCAGATGTACATGGGCAGCACTAAACGGATTTCATGGTTTATTTTTGCAAAAGAGAAAGATATGGAGTTGGGGTGGGAACAGTCCAGGGAGGTGGTGGTAGATCCTCCAGAAGGGAGAGAAATGGAAATAAATATATATGAATATAATCAAAATTCACTGCATGAAATTCTCAAAGATTCTTCTTTACAGATTATATACAAACTTATGAAAAAATAGATACACTAGTCACACAAGAGTAGAAATATAAAATTTAAGGGAAAGTTACTATGAATCCTATTATTGCTATGTAACTGAAATGAGTTCAGACGTTAGAGGACAAGCAGTCATTCCCAACATACATAATAAACACCAGCACATAGAACCTGAGAAGTGCTGGGTCCATCATTAAGCATATGGAGACATTAATAACATCTAATAAACACTTGCGTTTCAGTGCAGCAAGTATGATACCTCTTTGCAGCAGTTCTGGACATGTTTGGATCACACACTCAACTCTGGCATTTTCAAAGTAAGTTTCCGCACTGTTAATTTCCTGTTCAGCAGGTGCATCGCTGCTCTGTGGGAAAACGACAAGGGTGAAAGGAAAACTGGAGCTCAAATAGTCGTTAAGAATTTAAGATAAAGTATTTTACAAAATTATTCTAATTTCACACCAAAAGTAGTATAAATTCTGAAAGCTCTAAAGAAATACCGAAGAAAATGTAAGAAAAATATATAAATACACTGACATTCTGGAATTTGATAAGCGCAGGCTGAAATACCATAAAAAAAACCTTACAAAATTATCTTTTGTGATGTTTACGTGACATTGAATTATTGTAAGATTGCTATGAAGCTAATTTTAAAAAAATGGTGAAATAATATAGTTTCAGCTACAGGAAGGGCTTAGAGGTAGGTACCCAGTTAAAATTTAGCCATGGCCTGCAATATACTAGGCCCTTTGAGAGGATTAGACAGTATTAAAAAAATAAAGTATGCTTAAAAATCCAACTTTTACTCTCAAATAGATCTAACAGGGGAAAACAGCATTTTTAAAAACTAATTCAACATGAAATCGCCACAGAATTTTGGGGATGGAGTTCGGGAGGAAAGTGCTTTGCTAGCAGGGACAGGAAAAGCTGAAGCAGTGGTAACAGATGGAGGTGGTTACAGGTTAGGGATTCAGGAGGAGAGCGAGGAAAGTGGTGCAACCAGTGCAGCGAGCCTGCAGCAGCCTGGACTTCATTATCGTCACTACTTGCACTTCTCATATACAGAAACAAAGGCTCACAAAGGTTAAATGACATTCTCAAAGTCACAAGCTAAGTGTCAACACATGAACCTAGATTTATTCTCCTTCCCTAGTCCAATATGTTATAAGTTCCCTAAAAATGCAGGTAAAAGAAACAGTTCTTGAAGTCTGACAGAGTTGAAAGGACAAACACTTAGAACAAATTTACAGATTGGAGAAATGTGATTTTGAAATTATTTGTGGGAACATGCTAGCAGAGGGAGGCAAGGACAGAGGAAAGAAAGCTATTCATACGACTCATTAGACAGGAATAAGAACAAAGTTTGAGGGGATTAAAGAACCACTTCAGTATTAAACACAAAGTCTGGGACCTACCAGATGATACACAAAGACACGCAGGGGGCTCAGAACTAATACCGAGCTAGAATTATAGACTTAAAGCTAACGAACTAGTGACTAAAGAGGAGCTTAAATGAGAAGACTAACAACAAAATTTGTGGGAAAGATCAAGTATTTAATATGGAGAAGAACAAAGAAATGAGAAGAATGAGCAAAAATCATCTCATATAAAGAGATCCAGGAAGTCAGTGATGTTCTAATGTGTTCTGTCATTCAATAAAATTCATACTTTGAGATTGTTGTACCAAATAATACAGCTTTATTTTAAAATACATAACAAGGGTTGCCAAGATGGATCAATGGTTAAGAGCATAATTGCTCTTGCAGATGACTGGAGCTCAGCTTCACTTCAGGTAACTCCAGTTCCAGAAGACCTGACACCTCTTGCATGTACCCACAGAGACACATGTCACGTAATTAAAACCTAAATCTTTAAAAGCAAACAAAACGTCATCACTACCATAAAAACCCAACCAAACAAAAAAACCTTCACTTAACTCTGTGTAGCAATGTTACATGTTAGGAGTGTGACCCAAACTATGAGATGTATGTAGCCTTCTATTTCCAAGAATAATGGTGTAACTCCAGTTTAAACAACTCCATGCAAGTATGGGGATCTGAGTTTGGATTCCCAGTACCCACCTAAAAGTTAGACAAGGAGGTAAACACATCTGTATCCTTGTGTTGGGGGCCTTGCTGGCCAGCCTTGCCAAAATAAGCTTTGATCCAGTGACAGACCCTGCCTCAAAGAATACGGTGGAGAAGAAGCAGCTAAGACATCTATGAACTTTAGTTTCCATTCTTAAGCAAGCATACTTGCACACACATTTGGACACACACACACACACAAAAGAAAAAAAAGAAAAATTACAGAAACCTCCCCTAATCCTTTGGAAATTATTTTTTTCTTTTTCCCCCCTCTTAAAAAAAAAAAATAACATTTATACTGTTTTTCTTTTAGCTGACTGTATATGAACAACATCCAAGATCTCAAATATTTCTTAAAAGGACTAGAGAAATATAAAGTTAGCAAGAACTAAGTCTATCAACAAATTATAATTGCCCCAGGTGGCCTGAAGTTCAAAATGTAGGCCAGGCTGGTCCTGAACCTAGAGATTTTCCTCCTTTTACTGGTCAAGTGCTGGGATTACAGGCACCACGTGACATCATGGCACACCCATAACCAGTATTTTTAGAAGAAAAAACAAGAAACCTTACTCTTTAGCAATATAAAAAATTCGCAGTCACATTCAGAATAAAAAGTTACCAAAAACGTATTTTTGAAGAAGTATGTAACAGAGATTATGATGTAAACATGTAAACTGGACAGTGCAAACACATTTGAAGAAGTATGTAATAGAGACTATGATGTAAACATGTATGGAGAAGTATGTAATAGAGACTATGATGTAAACATGTATGAAGAAGTATGTAATAGAGACTATGATGTAAACATGTATGAAGAAGTATGTAATAGAGACTATGATGTAAACATGTATGAAGAAGTATGTAATAGAGACTATGGTGTAAACATGTATGAAGAAGTTTGTAATAGAGATTATGATTTAAACATGTAAACCGGACAGTGCAAACACATTCTGAAGGCTGCTTATGCTGCTTTCGTATAGACTTTTCTTTTTTACCCTTTCAATAAAACGATTGTACTCAGTAATCAAGAAGTAACACAACATTAATAAGAGCAACAATATTAACCAACCTGAAACTCATTCACATACTGTGCCATTACAAATTCGTGTCTTTCTGTTGAAAGGGGCTCTGCTAAAACATCAGGCAAAGTCTTATGGCTCAAGCTTTTCCTCTGTGAAGTAGTACCATTGAGGTGACAGTCGAAGCCCATGTTCCCAGGAAGCTGGAATCTCTGATCCTGAGGTCCAAATGGTCCCATAGTTTCATCAGGCCACACTGTTCGGGAGCCTGCAGGGAATCAAACGGACCGTTAGTCTTCATGTGGGAAGTCAGCTGTTAAAAACAAAACAAAGTGCAGGGAAGCTGTAGGCTTTGAATGGCCCGGTGAACTTAAACTGTAGTAAAGTTCTTGAAGAAACAAGAATTCCATGTGTTATACCTTTGGGACACATGCGGTTAAGCTTCTCAAAGCCTTTGGTGTTTTGGCATGCACGATAACTTTTTAGGTATGAAATGTGGACTTTCTCAAACCTTTCTAACCATTACTCAGCCTTTTTAAATAGCCCTGGAAAAGGACTTATAATTTGGAAACTGCTGCAGAGAGAACTAATAAAGAATCTTTATCAAGAAAGTAACAATTTAAATATATTAGAATGATCTGTAGGATAGTGATACAAAAATCAGATTAAAAGAAGCACTGGAGATTTTGGGAAAATTATTCAACAAATTCTTAATAAACATACAAAGAAACTAAGGAATAGTTGACAAGATCAGAGACCTGGCTGAGGGATGACTGTGTGTGTTAGAGACAGCAATCAGTTTTAGGACTGGTGAGATGGCTCGGGGACTGAGAGCGCATCCTGCTCTCAGGAGGAGCTGAGTTTAGTTTCCAGAACTCAAGTATGGCTGCCCACAACTGCCCTAACCCCAGTTCCAGGGACTGAACACTCTTTTGGCGTCTGCAAGTACCCGTACTCACATGCCATGTACACATAATAAAAATAAAAACAAAATTCTAAAAAAGGAAAACAACAACAACAAAAACCCCTAGAAATTGTGAAATCAAGTGTGGATAATACTGGACTTCCAATCGCTCAACTTAGTATGTTTTAACTTTGTATGACAGTAAGACAGCACTATGCAGTGAATATTGAATTTTGATATTTTCTCTGGGTAGAAACAGGCTATTCAATAATCTCTCGTAGTCAGGCAGTGAACTTTAGTTCTTAGTCATGGGATACTTAGGAATAGCAGTATGCGCATACTGCACTGCCAAACAGGAGTGGGAGATTAAGTATATCAAATGTGCTTATTTTTATTAAAATTTTTCATTTATTTTAGATTCTTATTGTAGTTTGCCCTTCCTCCTCTCCAACCATTCTCTCCGACTTTTAAATTATAATATCTCCAATTACAATGTGTTTCCTAGGATATACTCCTATAAAAAACGTTTTATTTTTTGTAATATTTTAACTTTCTAATACATCTAGGTAGAATGATATTTTATTTTCAATGAAACAAACAGAAGTTTAAAAAAATATTCAAAGCTCCAAGAAAAACTATTATAGAAAACATAATATAAAAGGCTTTGCAAGTATAATAAAAGCAGTTAAGTTTTTTACTTACATATATCCGGGGGTGCAGTGGCCACATGAGACTCATCAGACCCTGAAGACCCTGCAGTTGAAAAGGCTTTTGGATTGATAACTCTTCTCACTAAAGAACAGAACCCAGGGAGATAGGAAACCAGTCTGGCCCTGTTACAGAGCACCTAGTAACAACAGAAATCAACAGATTTAGAGACAAATAATAAATTCTGACAAACCTTCATACTGTGTTTCATCTTTGTATGTGTGTGCACACACATACAGTGCATGATACAAATTACACAGCCTCTTGAATTTTAAATTAAAAACCCTGGGCCCTCGGCTTCCCCCTGGCCCTACAGGTGTGAACTGTACGTGCTCAGAAGGCTGAAGGATGCTCTATCGCTCTCCACCTCACAGTCTCTCACTGGGCCTGCAGCTACTGTGCTGGCTGTCAAGTCCCAGGAGTCTTCCTGTCTCTACCTTCCCCGTAGTGCTAGTGTTACAAGCATGAACAGCTATGCTTGCAATTTTACGTGCTGTGAACTCAAATTTAGGGTCTGTGTTTATGCAGTAAGCTAATTCATCCCATTGTGTTCTATCTTTTAAAAACAACGCATATCACTTTACTACCTCTGTGGACTATCTACTAGGTGACAAACTATGTGTACTTACAATTAAAAAAAAAAACCCACTATGAGAGTTCTCAGAAAGTGGGGGCCAAGTATGCCAAACCCTAACAAGGAGGCCATACTAAAAAGCACGGAGAATGTTTACCTGATAAATGGAACTGTTACAGAGAGACTACCCAAACCAGAACCTTGCACAAAGGCCACTGTAGAAACTCCAGTAACTGCCTGTCCATCTTTGGACTGATGCTACCTGGTGTCGGTCCTCAGAGCCAAGAGCAATCCAACAAATTATGCAACCTTTCTTATTAGAAAACCCTTGACCCTTGGCTTCCGCCCGTGTTGCCTATGGTCCTGCTTGGCTTGCCGTGAGTCCTGCAATCACTCTCTCACTCCCAAATAAACTCTGTTCTTCAGAGTCACCTCAAATCACAGCACAAGCATCTGAACAGACAATGTGCTGCTTTGGGATAAATGTGTATGTTTTTTTTTCAAAAAAGGCCAAAAGATGAATGCATGAATGCCGCCTTATTAATAAATACTAAAAATGTAGAGTGACTGGTAAGATTCTGCTGTCCTTAAACCAAAGACTTCAGGACTTTTCCTTAGACCCTCATGTTTCCTTCCTGATCCTTTTCTTCCTCAACCGCTGCAGACTATGCTCCTACTTCCCATTCGATTACTTCCTCTTGGTCTAAAGGCAATGTTCACTTTCCTTAATTTAGCATATCTTTGTGGTGTATTTTCTGATCTTATGTTTATTTCCCAGACTGAGTTAAAAGTCGATGAATATGTAAATATGGAGGTATGGCTAGACGATAGCAGAATACTTAGGTTAGAATAGTTTAATGTGGAAGATGCAAATGATTTCCCGATATGGTTAATTGTTGGGAAATACAGTTTTGTAACACAGGCACAGTCTTTCATTTGTGTGTTGCGTATGACTGCTTGCATATTGTGACATCAGCATTAGTCTACAGCTCACCAAGCTTCAAGGATTTGCTAGCTGACTATTTACATTTAAAAAATGTCGACATCACCTGACCTGGATTATCAGGCATGAGTTATCTACATAGTCAAGAATGTCTATATTTCAGGGCTTAGACGAATTCAATGGTTTTCATATGAAAGAAGTCTACAGTTAGTTCCAGCTATTCGTGGCTGACTGATCCCATCCTAGTCCGGACTCCATTGCTGCAGCACCTTCCGGCTTTATGGGGAGCAGATGTGTCTCTTCATGGAGAAGCATGTGACTTGGGAAATTTGGTTAAAACTTTTGAGTTTCAGGAAAAAAAGACTAAAGTAGGTATACCAGAAGAGTGGCAAGTTAGTGCTAAGTCACGGGCATTTTTATAACTCTGGATGTTAAGGAAGTTGTTAAAGACACATGTCCATGCATGTTTCACACTAACCTCTGCCCAGAATTTACGACACATAAACCAACACAAAACCCTTATGGCTGACATCTGAACAGTAGAATTTCAATGTATTTACTATAAACTTCATTCTAGGAAAGGACTTTTATCTTCCAATAAATTCATCCTACGGGTTCATTTAAAATGAAGTCAGTGTAAATATTAGTATAAATTATTCTATTCTGCTTTAACTTCCCTCCGTAGGCCTCTTTCATATCACACCCATTCAGGGCAGGATATGGCTTGGTAAAAAACTCATCCGAGAACGTCCCTCAGACTGGTAGTCTGCGCTTCACATCTGTCCCTACAGTCACACCCCCAAACACTTGGCAGTAACAGGAATGCCACCTCACTAACTGCTCCCACATTACTCTCTCTGCCACAGCTCTGGTTAAATTACAACTTGAATGAAGTTAAGCCACTGAGTGCGGCACTCAGGATTCCCTAACGTTCCACTGTCTCCGGATCCACCTTCACCTCCTATGTGTCCCTTGCCCACCTGACATTCAGGCAGGCAGAAATGATACCCTAACATTTAAAGGGCACAGGGAAGAGTTTTTGTGTATAGTGCCTGACCTTCTAATTCAAACCTTTGATGATCTAAGTTTCACTTAGGTCTCAAAACACAAGGTAAACATTTTTCCCACTAGGTGACCCCAAACTCCCATTTTCTCTATGCACAGATCTCTCACTGTATCTTCTCCAAGCTTTCAAAAAAAAAAAAAAAAAACAAAAAAACCTACTTTAAAAAATTGGTGTGTGTGTGTACACAAGTGTCTTCCCGCATGTGTGTGCACATTATGTGTGTGCACATTATGTGTGCCTGGGGTCTGATGAGGCCAGAAGGTAGCACTGAATCCCCCAGAACTGGAGTCACAAGAGGGTTGTGACTAGTCTCATGCCTGGGTCCTCTGCAGAGCAGCCTTTGCTCCTAACAAGTTGGCCCTCTTTCCAGCCCCTAGAATGTGTTACTTCTAATAAAATTCTTCATCTATTTCTTATGCCCTTTACCTATGTTCTAAGGTAGGGTGTGTATAGTATCTGGGCACTTACACTCACATCTGTGAGTATAAGAACTTTTGCTTTACTTCTGTAGAAACTGAAAGGTCACTTCCTATTCTGATAACTTCAAAACTTAAGGTTAACCAAAAGTTTCTGTTGTTTGTTTTTGGTAATGGACTTACAACATTTTAGATATTTGCTGACATGACCTTTAGAAGTGTTGAAAGGATGTTCGCATTGAGTTTTATGTCTATAAAATGTGAAACTGGAGAAACGCACGAGAATTTAACAGGATGTTTGAGCAAAACTACTTTTAAATAAATCATAAAAACTTAACTTCACACCCTCTGCTCTCCGACAGGGCTGATATATTAAGACGACCATTATGCCAACGTCATCATAAAGCCGTCCCTCCATTCCCTAACCTGCTTCCAAACACGGTTGTTCCAAGAGTGACTTACATGAGCCATTTCTAGTGAAGAAGACGGCCGCAAATTCTCCCCTTTTGCAAAGACTTCCTGGGAAAAAGCAAAACGAAAGAGGCTAGTGACAGCTCGGGCCGGGCAGGGTCAGCGTGTCCCTCCCCATCGCCGGGCCTCGGGCCCCGCGTCCCTGGGAACCCGTGGGGCCGCCCGGGCTCAGGCTCGCAGGCCGGGGCCAGAGCCACCGGTTCTGAGCCCGGAGCTCAGGCTCGGGCGAAGCCCGGGACAGAGGTGGGACGCCAGGGGCAGTACCGACAGCAGGGTTCCGGTCACCCCTGAACGTGCACGGGAACCCGCGGGCGGGAACCGTCCGTACCAGTCACCGGAGGGCCTCCGCATTCAGGCCCGCTCCCTGTCCACCTCCAAGATGGCCGCCGCCACCGTCCCGCCGGGGCCGCCGGGGCCGCCCAGGCCCGAGGAGTCGCCTCCGAGCGCATCGATGCTGCCTGTCGATCTCCGAGCAGATGATGCACGCAGGGCTCCAAAGCTGAGCAGGTTCATTGGATAAACAGGTGTGTGTGGGGGGGGGGGGGGGAATCACGGCGGGGAGGAGGGCGCTCGTTGGGAAGATTTAAAGGTACCAACCAGTGTTTGGTACCAATGTTTGGTGAATATTTGCTTCGTTGACTCACTGGTACTTTTGACAGACTTTTGTTGTTATTGTTATTGTTTTTAATTTTAATTTTTTTTAGAGTTAAAAATTATTTTATGTGGGGTGGTGGTGGTGCACGCCTTTAATCTCAGAAGTCAGAGGCTGGTGGAGCTTTGTGAGTTCGAGGCCAGCCTGGTCAACGAGACCTAGTTCCAGGACAGACTCCAGTCTCTGAAGTTACAGAGAAACCCTATCTCGAAAAACAAAACAAAAACAAAAAACACCAAAAAATTATTTTATGTGTATGAGTGTTCTCTCTCTCTCTCTCTCTCTCTCTCTCTCTCTCTCTCTCTCTCTCTCTCTGTGAAGTTGCAGATGGTTGTGAGCTGTCACGAGGTGCTGGGAGTTGAACCTGGGTCCTCAGCAAGATCACCTTGTGCTCTTAACTCCTGAGTCAGCTCTCCAGACTCTTTATCCTCCCCCAAAACTTTCCTCCTCTGGAAGAGTCAATCTTGTGTTGTTTGTATGATTGATGTTTTTCAAGAACTATTGTTTTTAAGGAGGAGGACAGGTTTTTTTGTTGTTGTTGTTGTTTGTTTCTTCTTTTTTTTGTCTCAGTTTTTAGATGGTGTCAAACTCTTAATAGGCTTAGTAAACATAGATATATTATCCATCAATAGCATATAACTTACTTAATGCATTTAAAAATAAAGTTTATTATTAATTCTCAAGTTCTTTTAATTTTGATAGTTAACTTTTCTGTTTTTGTGATCAAATACAATGACCAAGGTAACTTATAGAAGGAATTGTTTATTTGGGCTTACCATTTCAAGACCCAGAACCTGGGGTGTAGGGACAGTGGCAACAAAGTAGTAGATCGGGTGGCGGAAGCAGAAGCAAAGGGCTCACATCTTGAACCATCAGGGGAAAGTAAAGAGCTCACTGGTAATGGTGGGTGACTTTTAAAACTTCAATGTCATCCCCCCAGGGACATACTTCCTCTAGCAATGCCATACCTCCTAAATCAATACAAAAAACTGTCAACTTGGGACCAAGTATTCCAAAATCTTAGCCCATGGGGGCCACTACAATAAACTTAGCTGTCTGAGAAAGTATTCAGTCATTTTGATGGCTGTCTCTGAATTGGAACTTAATGCTTTTCTCATGTGTCAACTGAAGTAAGAGTCTGAGTTTAATAATATAAAATGTACTTGTTACGCTATTCTATCAAGGGTCCTTTCTGCTGTTATGATTTTTCACTAATTATCACCTTGGTGAGGTGGAACACTGCTCTTCTACTGTGAAGCTAGTCTTTACCTTTAGGAATGTTCAAGGAGGAAGAAAGGCCCCAAACTGCAGGAATGGATAGTCATTCACCTCATTGAGGGCAGAGTGTCTTCATAATTAGCTGGGATTCTTCTCATGGAAGAATTGTCTGCTTCTGTTTGTCAATGTATTCAGTTATTTATATTAATATGGACTCACTAATTTTAAACTACTTTTAAATTTTGTTTTCCATATTGATCCAACTTTGGTTTCTTTCAGTTGGTGTCTTTTGACAAAACCTCATAGGATTTGTTGTTGTTTTTGTTTTTTGGTATTCATCTATATGCTTGTTTGTCATTATTTCTTGAGATTGTTTAAGAATTTCTGGCACTATTTGATACTCCAGAATCTTCTTATATAATCCCTGCTTATCGGAGAATCAACTGCTTTCCTAAGAAGACATAGTTGTCTACTTTAACCCATGCAAGAGACTTGACTTCCCATTTGCTATCCATATACTTACTTCAATTCCAGTGTACATGGTCAGTTCAGAACTGTTAAACTATATTTGGCGTACTTGGATAGTGGAATTGTATAGCCAACGAAGCCTGTGGGATTCAGAGTCACCAACCATGTGTAGTGCTTTTAGATAGTTCTTTTACACTACAATTTATTTTTATTGTTGTTTTTTTCCTTCTTTTTATCTTTCCTCCCCATTTCCTTTCTCCTCTCCTCCCACTTTCTGCTTTCCTCTGTCCTTCTGTCTTTCTTGTTGTGGATAAAGTCTCCCTGTGTTGCTCAGACTAGTTTTGAATTGTACATCCTTCCAGCTTAGTCTCCTAGTAATGGTGTTACTGCTTTTGAGACAGGATCAGAAGATAAGAAAAGTATGGAGGCCTGAGAAGAAAAGGATCTTTACATCATGGAGTTCAACTGAAGTTTTTTGCCAGCTGAGAAGTATGAGTTCGAGCACTGTTACCAGCATTTGCTATAAAGGTTATCAACATAGAGAAAACATTATTTTTACATATGGATAGTTAATTTAAAATTACTAACAACCCAACTTTAAGGTCTGAATGTATTTGACCTTGAGTAAGGTCTTATTTCTTTCCATTTTCTTTTGTGTGTGTGTGTGTGTGTGTGTGTGTGTGTGTGTGTGATCAAACAGGAGTACTATCTTTGCAGTCTGATGTCCTCACTTACTGCATCCAGGTGATCTCAGTTAGTATTCAACCACCTTCTAACTCACAAAAGTGCTACATCTGACTGTTGTAAAGATAGCGAAGTGTGACTCTTCTTTGAAAAGCTCACACCCTTGCTCTGGGGTGTGCCTTTCTTTTTGGAATGTCTCCCCTTTTCTTAACTCTCATACATCAAGTCAAGTATCTTTATGAGGTCTCAAGTCAGCTTCATACTGGCTTGTTCTGAAAGCCACAAATCCTGGGTTGGCCTGAGTCAAGGTCCCTCAAGAATTAGGGGAACTCCTGAGAGCGCGAGGGCAATACAGTGGAGCTGTGCCTTTCACCTTGGTCTCACTCATTGCTGACAGGATAAGCCACTGTTTCTTGGAGTAGTTGCTTTTTAATACCGAAAATTTATGACTCTACCAATCACTACAGTCATTGGACGTAGACTGAGATTTGCAGTTGAAGACAAATTTCTTTCCCAGGGGAAAAGGTGCTGCACATCCAAAACAAAAAAACAAGCAAACAAGAAACAAGGAAGAGGTAGGGACTGTCTTTCTCTTTTGGGACTTAAGATGCTAGGTTCTTCAGAGAAAGAAAACACAGAACAGCTCCGGGGAAGTTGGTGATATCAGACTTATATGTTTCAAGCAACAGCATGCAATGAAGTGCAGATTTGAGGAGGGAATTCTAGATTACTTTTTAAAATTTTAAATTTGCCCAAGAATTTCCAGTTTGAATCTCTTAGCCACCCCTACTGGTCATTTTCTAGGAAGATACTGTGGTTGTACAGATACTCACTGACACTACACATATTGTTTGGACTCTTAAACTATTTCTGGTGGGGTCATATGAGGCAAATTATTTAGTCTCTTTATGTGTTAGTTTTCTCCCTTCTGAGTGGGCATACTGCTATCTATTGCAGAGTATTTGTGAGAATTAAGTTCATGCACACACAGAGAGAAAGAGAGAGAGAGAGAGAGAGAGAGAGAGAGAGAGAGAGAGAGA